ATGTGCCAACCAAACAGACGGTCGTAGACCATTGTTTAATTAAGTGTATGCTTATGTCATGAGAGGAATGTTTATGTTAAAATAAAGCACTTTATTCATTCATTCATTCATTCATATAACACATTGAAGCATATGGGCGCTAACAGGTCTTATATGCATATATATACTGGGCATTTTCGTATTTTTTCAAAAAATGTTTACCTTTTACGGATAAAATACAATAAATTCTCCATTTAAAAATTCCCATATTGTTCTTATGGAGAATAAGTAAACTGTTGTAGTTTGCTTGTTTATAGAGATGTATGTGATGTGGAAATTTAAAAGGGACCTTTGATTTTGATTTAGAGTTATATATAGGGATGGTCAAGTCTCGAAATTTGGGAAAATTTTAAATCTCGTTACACGAGACGAGATTTCTTTTTGGCCGAGATTTTTATCGAGACGAGAATAAAACAAAAAAATTAAAAACGCCTGCAGAAAGTCAATGCAATACCCGCAATACAGGAGCGTGTTGTAGTTGCGTTTCCTTTGCGAAGGCGTTCTTATTTAATTAATTCTTTAAATGTAAATATTACTTTAATTATTTTAATAATATTACTTTTGTGAAGTTTTGTTAAGTGTAAGCAGTGTGAGGAATGTTTTATTACTATAAAAAGTCAAAACAAGTAACTATTTTATAAAAATTAATATTGCTTTTATTTTATGATTTATTTTATTTTAGGATAAGTTGAATTCTATCCTAACTGATATCACTATGTTTCCTAATCGTAGGCATTTTTAATAGGTTAGGCGTGATTAATAAAAAAATGTTATGCTGATGTTTTTTAATAAAAGATTGTAAATATTCTTGCCTATCTATATAATTAATACGCTACATGAAACTTTGTCGGTTGAACTCCTCCACCATTTCTTAACCGATTTCATCGATTAACGTCTCATTGGAAAGAGCGTGTCGCGTAGATTTGCAAACTGGCCTTACATTTTTGAAAAAGTCCCTTGGGCTCTACCCCAGTGGCTTTTAAAGTTCCCATGTTATCCTTATGAAGAACATAATTGTTTACATTTTGATCAGCTGTATAATTTAATTTCTGTTATTTATTAAATTCAATGAAACACATTGTGTACATTTATTTACTATTTGAGTTTGTGTAAACATAACCCCCAAGACGGATCGTGTTAGTATGGTTGTATCATTTGTGCATTTATCGATGTTTTGTGTCGCTATAATTTTTTTATTTGCTGTTTTTTCTTTTAAATGCCTCCGACGCGACAACAACGAAACATAGACAGGAGGTGTAATCGTGATAACGACCGCAGCTACAAAACAGTGGCGCGTTAACTCATCATAGTCAGCAATACATCGTTGTCAGCACCTGACCCTGGACAATCTCAACTATTAGGTTACAAATGTGCCCTAACACTACCCCAAAACGACTTTTCGTTTTCAATTGCCCCTCTATCAATGACCTGTGTTGCATGTAGAGCGAGGCATTTTGAGAAGGAGAAAACCGGCCGGAATGCTTTAGGTTTATCAATAACGAAGATAAAAATGGTCTGAGTTACACGCCGTTAATATTTGAGTTGACTCTTTTAAACTCATTGTAAATATGACTGTTATTCGTTTTGAAATAACTCCTGCAATACTTTGTAATTGCTCGAATTCGAGCAACATGTACACTAGTTATCATTATTTTTGTATTTAAACAGTCATCTAACAATGTTACAAAATCAGGTAAAAATTTTGAATGTGCATTTCCCGTTGTGTATGAGAAGGGAAATCCCGTCTCAATCTTGTCTCGAAATTTTATGAGAAATAAAAAATCTCGTCTCGTCTTGTCTCAAACTAAAAATCCAATCTCGTCCATCCCTATATATATATATTTGAACTAGCAGAGTACCCGTCCTTCGTACGGGGTTGGAATATAAGTATAAAATGCTTATTGCAGTTATACTAGAGCTTTGCGTTTGCAATAAGGGAGGACACAGTTTGATAAAATTTGCTTTTTTAAATTTACAGTATTCTATAGTATTACACATCTACCATAGCCATAATGTTCTACCACTTCATCTAAACAATAGAGAAAAATAAATTATCAACAATTCGCAAAATATCACAAATTATTCATGAAATGAAAAACATAAACATAACTGTAAACAATCCTACTTTGACAGTTCTCATTGCGAATCACAGTTTTTTGTTGCTGCTTAGTTCAAATTAGCTGTTTTCATAAATGCAAAAAAATATAGTGCTGCACCCTGTTGGTAAATCTTATAATTTTTTAATGCTTTTCCATATCACAGAACCAACTTTTTTTAGTTGAAACAGCTGACTAAATTCTTTAATTCCCTTTAAATATGAATACTCATAAGGTTAACATGGTGAATTACAGAGCCACTGGGGCGGAGCCCAAAAGGATTTTTGAGATAAGAATATGCCTATATTATAATCTGGAATGTAAGCTATCATCATACCAAATTTCAGCCCAATCCGTCCAGTGGTTTATGCGTGATTGAACTTCAAACACACAAACAAACAAACACACAAACTTTCACATTTATAATATTAGTAAGGTTCCTTAATTCCAAATCACTTGGTCCAAGTCCCATGCATCTGTTTTTTTTGTTTTTTTTAGAAAGAAAGCCTATAATGTCCCCTTTTGGAGGCACTACCAATTTTTAGCGAATTTCCCTATAGGGAAGTAGCTATTACCGTAGGTGGCACGGTAAGACCTAGACCCGGGACCGATTTACTTTTTCATTTTGATGTCCCCAGAGGCCAAAAACACCATTCGTTCAAATTTTAATACATGTATATATATATATATACGTCCGTGAACGCGATAACTTGATTAATTTTTGTCCGATTTTTATGAAATTTGGTTTAAAGATGTAAAGCGGGATAAACTTGAATGAGTTCGCGAACCAGCATGATCGGACCATGGGAACGGGGCTTTACGGGGGGTTTTATGGGGTAAAAATTGGTTTTTCTCACTTTTGACACTCAAAACACAAAATTTTCCATTTTCTCTTTAGACCTTTTTAAAGAGCTTAAAAAAACAAATAAAATTAGTATATAAAAGTATTTTTGTTCGGTTATTAGTAACGGAGAAAAGTAAAAAAAATTGTAAATTTAAAATTCCAATGTTATTCTTATGGAGATTTTGTACTAAGCTCTCAATATTTTACTAAAAAATACACTTTATTAGTTTCCTTGTAGCAGCAAACCTAGATACTCGTTAAACCTAATGTCATTAAAATATATTTAATTGAAAATCAATTTAGACAAATGGAAATTCGCTTAGTCAGCAGGTTTGCTGCGGCGGGGGTATTGTCTTAACTGATGGTAGTTTTCATTAAAAAAATTGTTTTATCGAAGCATGTTATAAAAATCACATTTCAGAAGAGGGACCTCTTGTTGGGAATTTTGATTTTGAGTTATATATATATTTGAATTCCTTATTAAATTCCAAATCACTTGGTCCAAGTCCCATGCATCTGTTTTTTTTGTGTTTTTTTTTTTAGAAAGAAAGCCTATAATGTCCTCTTTGAAGGCACTACCAATTTTTGTCTTAACTGATGGTAGTTTTCATTAAAAAAAATTTTGTATTGAAGCATGTTACAAAAATCACATTTCAGAAAAGGGGCCTATTGTCAGCCCTATGTTATTTTCTCCATAACATAAAAAAGGCACCTTTTGTCAGGACCGCAAAATTTGTGAGATATTTTGTTCTTCATAAACTGAACTTTTTTGTAGTTCTCTAAATTTCCCTAGAATGTAGTTTTTGGACTAAAAATTTTTTGGACTAAAGTCTGTTTATAAAGTGAATATTAGAAATGGGACCTCTTGTTGTTATGGCGAAATAATATTGGGCAACAAGAGCTAACTTTTCTCATACCATGCAGAGGCTAATATAAAATGATTTATTTCGACCTTTAACATCTTTGATTCAAGATTTTAACCGATACTGTCCTGTTCTAAGTTAAATGAGGTATAACAATTGATAAAAAACCGAATTTCGATATCAACCCTAATCACTTATATCAGCCGTACCGAAAATTTTTCATCGTCGACAAGAGGTCCCTCTTAACTTTCCACATCACATGATCTAACTTGTCAAATTTATTAATTTTACCAATCATTTTATTAATTTAAACCAATCATATTTTACTACAAAAAATACTTTTTTACCCTACCTGTAGCAGCAAACCTAGGTACTTGTTAAACCTAATTTTATTTAAATAGATTTAATTGAAAATCCAATCAGGTAAATGGAAATTTGCTTAGTCTGCAGGTTAGCAGTGGCGGGGGTATTTTAAATAAAAATAGTCATGATACAGTAGAGTCCCGCAAACTCGGCACTCGATAACCCGGCAGTCTGGATAACTCGGCCATCACCTGGCTCAGAAAATTAGTGATTTTTTGAGTCCGAGTTAAACATGGACTCAAGCCAGCTCAAGTAAAATCATTCACAACTCGTACTAAGGATTTGTTGTACTATATCTGATGACTTAATACTGACTTGTAAAATAAATATAAATAAAAAAGGCAATTAAAAAGCTTCCAAATTGTATTGTTCTTATTTTTGACCAGTTCCTGATAACCCGGCATTTCACAAACTCGGCACCCTTCCAGTCCACATTACGCCGAGTTTGCAGAACTCTACTGTAATATAAACCACAGATAAGCAGCATTATTTAAAATTTTTATGAATTCATCAAAACCTTTATTTTGTGGCCAATTAGAGCTGTGTGCTTGAACAGGCCTTGACTTGGCATTTCTGAGACATGGGGTTTTCACTGACTGAATTAAAGTAATCTAAGAAGCATTTCAATCTTAAGTATAACCATTGACTATTGGATACTGAAGTTGTATTAATAGTCAAAAATGTATAACTGACAAAAGTGAAGAATTAAAAACAAACTTGATAACACTCATATATCTATATACTGAAGCTACAAGAACTAAAGTGGTGCAAGGGTTTAAAATAAAGCAAAGGTGATGAATTGTGATAGTTTATACTTCACAGTTAGTTATAAGTGTTCAGTTTACAAAAGAATGTTTTAGGGAAGAGAAGGGTCAAACAGACTGCACACAGCCATGCCTAGTGGAGTAACAAAATATCATCTAGGGTTGATTGAATAGCTGAGTATACATGTCCAAGCAAACTACATCTAAAGGAAAATATTGATAAAACCAAGCAGCACCACTTTCTTTAGACACAAATTTTGTTTACAATGTAAAAAATAGGGTATGAATATTAGAGCAAACCGTGTGCAAGTTTTAAATGACAACATTTGTGCTACAAACATATTTCATGGTTTAGTATGCAGAAAAACAAAGTATTCTGTAATAATGAAAAATTTAATCATCACTGTCTGAATAGATTTGCTTGTTTGCAAAAATAATCAAACCCGTAATATACAATTTAATACTTTATGACTTCTCTTCCCTAGTCGACAAATACTGAGCAATAATTTGAATCTGTGTGATATGAGTAACTACTGCTGGTCACTCTCTTCTATTCTAACAGCCTTCTAGCAAACATAACTTATCAGTCAAATTTCACTCTTTTGTGAACACTCTAGCAACAATAGTAGTATACATTGGCCTTTAGAAACGGTGAATGCCCCAGCTCAAAGAAAAATCATGGTTAAAACCATTAAGAAAAATAAGAAAAAATCTAGCAGCTAAATTAAGACCGTTAATAATTCAAATAGTTCTTTCATTGGTCTTGCTAAATCACAGTTATTTATATTACCATTCATCATTTTAATCAATAAAGCTAGAAAAATTACAAAAAGAAGAAAATGAATTGATTCAAGTTATACAATTATAAATCTAATGCCATTGTTGGAATGATTATTTATACAACCCAAAGGCATTCACCTGAAACAACGTAGAGTGAAATTAAGCTAGTGAAAAATGATGACAAACGGCCATCATGATAATATTGTCCGCTCTCTTACATTACTTATATATAAAAACAATAATATAAAACTTTACATTAAAATTACCTAAAAATTATTCTTTTGGACTTTGTGAAATAAGATTAAGAACCTAATGTGAAAGTGTAGTGTAATAAATATATACAGAAGGCAAAAAAGGTAGGGTATTGCTAGAGAAAGAAATGTAACAGAATGGCACTGAAGCTAGGATATCACATGGGCTAACCTATCAATAAAACACCATAAATGCTGACAATACAAATAAGCAGGTAAACACTGAGAATGTACATCTCTACGACAATACCACAAGGCACTAACAAAATATTATTTGGTTCTATTGGCGGATTCCCTCCAAATTTTTTCAGGGCTCGGAAGCACTCCACTTAGCATACAATTACAGTTCCACAAAATAATTTGTTAATAAAAATGCTTATAAGTGAACTTTATATTAAATAATTTTTTAAATTTTTAAACACAATAACAGATTTTTAAGTGAGACTTTACAAAAACAGATAGTTTGTGCTTTGAAACATTTATAAAAACGTATTTACTGTTAGTTTGAGAAAATCACAAAAAACATAAAATTTACAACTGATCCTGTCACAGAGATTTTAATACTAAGAGTACAAAAAATTTATAAAAACCTTAAAAGAATATCAACACAGTATTGAAAGTTCCTGACCACACATGTCTCAATAAACAATAAATTAAACATGTCGATAAAACACAAGTGTACAGCGACTAGGATAAGCTCGATAGTTCAAGGAAATGTACACCTCTAGGAAATCGCCCGTTGCTAATAATTTGGGGGAATTTCCATCATAGTTAGGTCGAATCGTTCACTTATTCCTATTTGGTAAAACTTATAAAAGAATATCCAGCCTTATAGGTTATGCTGATGGCTAAAGCCAAGCAGTTTATATTAACTAAGCGTTGTGGTAGCTTGTGATACAGTGGGTAGTAAGAGACTTGAGTCAGACGGTGCAAAACTTGTCTGGCGCAAAACACTCCCACTAGACAGCGTCTCCTCTATCAGGGCAGCTATCTTCTCCTTGTCTCCCTGCAAATGGATAATAATAAGGAGGAGTCTAAACATAGTGGTATCTTATGACACTGTGGGTAGTAAGAGACTCGAGTCAGACGGTGCAAAACTTGTCTGGCGCAAAACATTCCCACTAGACAGCGTCTCCTCTATCAGGGCAGCTATCTTCTCCTTGTCTCCCTGCAAATGGATAATAATAAGGAGGAGTCTAAACATAGTGGTATCTTATGACACTGTGGGTAGTAAGAGACTCGAGTCAGACGGTGCAAAACTTGTCTGGCGCAAAACATTCCCACTAGACAGCGTCTCCTCTATCAGGGCAGCTATCTTCTCCTTGTCTCCCTGCAAATGGATAATAATAAGGAGGAGTCTAAACATAGTGGTATCTTATGACACTGTGGGTAGTAAGAGACTCGAGTCAGACGGTGCAAAACTTGTCTGGCGCAAAACATTCCCACTAGACAGCGTCTCCTCTATCAGGGCAGCTATCTTCTCCTTGTCTCCCTGCAAATGGATAATAATAAGGAGGAGTCTAAACATAGTGGTATCTTATGACACTGTGGGTAGTAAGAGACTCGAGTCAGACGGTGCAAAACTTGTCTGGCGCAAAACATTCCCACTAGACAGCGTCTCCTCTATCAGAGCAGCTATCTTCTCCTTGTCTCCCTGCAAATGGATAATAATAAGGAGGAGTCTAAACATAGTGGTATCTTATGACACTGTGGGTAGTAAGAGACTCGAGTCAGACGGTGCAAAACTTGTCTGGCGCAAAACATTCCCACTAGACAGCGTCTCCTCTATCAGAGCAGCTATCTTCTCCTTGTCTCCCTGCAAATGGATAATAATAAGGAGGAGTCTAAACATAGTGGTATCTTATGACACTGTGGGTAGTAAGAGACTTGAGTCAGACGGTGATTTGTTTATGTCTATGATCCATACCGGTTCTTTTCAAGTATTCGTGCTATAACCCTAATCTCAAACTCAAAGATTTTGATCAAAACATTATTTCTCCATATACTTATACTATTTAGGGGGGGGGGGCAGTAAAATGTATAACTTATAAGTGTAGTTTACCTCGTTGATGAAGCCATAGAAGACCAATTCTTGTGCAAGATGAAGAGCATTGTCCATCTCAGACACAAGACAGGTCAGCTGTCTGTTCATCTTGTCATCCATCCTGAGCAGGATTGTCATCTGAACAGTAAAAACAATGTACATGCATATGCTTGTGTTAACATCTTAAAAGTAAAATACATGCTTAGATGTGTTTTTCTTAAATATAAGTCAAGAAGTGTATTTTAAGTATGAATTAATAGTTTTAAGCATAAGCAAGCGAACAGCCGATAAACGGCCAAACGAGAACTCTGTATTGTATTACAAATATTTTAGACTAGACAAAGGTAAAACTGGAGAAAGAATGATGAATACAAGGTTATTACATTTTTGGTGTTACTTTAATTGTTAATATTTATTTAGCTCAACTGCACTCTTTTCATATGTCAAATGTGTCGATAGTGCCATTAAAATAAGATTCTTGTTTCTGATTCATCCGAATGCAGTAGGCCTACCGTATGTTATGAAGTAAATCAATTGTTGTTACAGTATTTGTTTTATGATTCGATTATTTTTCACAGCGCTGACATTTGTAAGAGACGATTACTCGTAGACTGCTGTAACGTCGATAGAAATGTAATGTTGAAATTACGTCCTTGGAAAGTGGAAACTAATAATAATTATTAACTGATACAAATTTTGTTACAAGTCTAAAACGTCATAATATACAGTGTATAAAAAAAAGTTGGATATTTAACAGGTAGTGTTGATTATCAAATTTGGGGAAATCCACACACCTCTCGTTACAAGCACTGGCAAGTCTAGAGCCTTTGCAGAACAAAAATACCAGGAGATATCTTTTGAGAAACATGATCAGTGAGCAATGAAAAACTCAAAATTAAATCAGCCTACAAACCTAAAAATCCCACATTTTGTTTAGAAGATAATTCAATGTCATCCAGCAGAAAAACGAAGCCGCTATTTTGTTTTTAAGGAATATGAGAAACGATAAGAGGAGTTCATGATAACAACATTGAATAGTCTGGACTCCTTGGTGGCCTAAGAAGCTGGTTTTGGAAAAGGATGACAGGTGTCTTTTTTATACTTTTTTTAGATAATAAAATTTAAGCAGTCATGATTATTAACATGTTTGTATCAGTAAAGAACTAACCAAGAGTTCACAGCTCTGCTCCTTAGGCTTGACGTTACACATCATGTTGACCACTCGTCGTGTCTCCACGTCCACAGGCTCTGGAGTCACAGACTTGACACTCTCCGCCACCTCGGGGGAGACTGCGCGAGGTCTGGGCGGTGGTGGCTGCCTCGCTCGGTACGCTGTCAGTGGGTAGATGCCATACCTGCACATTGATACGGTTAGCTACATCTATTTATCTCATGTAGCTTGTACAGCTTGTACCAATAATATATAATTCTTTACTAGCTTGGCCTTAACCTTCTATAGGTGATTTTATTTGGCCGTTATAATTTATTTTTCTGTTGTCTCGTTGTCTGCTGATATCTGTCTGCTCTATTTTCAGCTTTGCTCAACATTTGAAACACTAAACACCGTACAAGTGTAATATGAGGGGTCAAATTGTTAAGAGGACGTGTTTAGCAATGTTGTACGAGTAGGCTGAGAGTTTAAAACAATAACTTGTTGAGCTGGCCTAAACTTACTTTGTCATGGAGGCAGTTTTGAAAGGAGAATTGAGGAAATGGAACTTTTGGAGTAGCTGGAGCTCAAAGACTTTAGCCTTGGTTCCAGTTGTGATAATCTTTGTTTTTTTCACTATTGGATTTAGATTCTTTTTCCAAATTAGTGTTTCAATTTAAACTTAACCATTAACATGCCTCGGTTTGGTTGTTATTAAGAGCGATTTTTACTTTAATTCTTGAGCTGTAACTGTGGGTAAGCTTCAGCGCAGCTCCGAGGTTAACTCTCAAAACATCTTAACACTCTCTTAGTGATGAGAGACTTCACAAAACTCAAATCACTCACTTGACATCCTCCACAAACTTTTCCAGTTTCTCTGTGACAGGAATATCAGCCATCTTGAAGTGTACACCCGGCCGACCGTCAGGATGGGTGATCTCCGCAATTACCACGTCGGGCCCAAATAACCTCTGGACCACCTCGTCTGTTATTGACTCTGATGTGTTTGCTACAATAAATACAGAAAATTTAGAATTTCAATATGAAAATCACAGTTTTTCAAAAAATAACATTTGTTATATTTTTAGACTGCAATGATTTACATGACAAACTATTCTATTCTGCTTACTATGGACTATATTTAGTAGAAGAGAGGTGTAACATTTTTGCGTTTGAGTTTATAAAGATACTTTAGTTACGTTATAGGTAATGACAGTTAGATGAGAACAAAGAATAATATAAAGTTTTTACTTTTGTTTGAGAAAAAAACACTATTATTATATTCAGTAAGAAAAGAAACTCCAAACTTACTTACAATTGGTAAAGTTTCTGCCAGTTTGATAAAGAAATCTAGCATTTTCTTTACAAGTCAGTAATGCAGAAAATGTCAAACAAATTTACTAAATGTATTTTTAAGATTAAGTTAACAGGAAAGCAGGCTTACCTTTAAATAATAGTGCAGTAGAAATAATCGAAAATATAGCTTAAGGTGGAACTAATTGCAACACAAATGATTCTTGCTGTGAATGGTAGGTAGTATGCTTCTAATCAACATACTAAAAATATACATCCGTACTGTGGTAAAAAATACGTTTTTTGGCCGCCATCTTGAAAAAAGTGTCAAAATTTTAATATTCGTAAAAACAACTTTTTGGGTATCAAATTATAGGAAATCTAATGCTGAAAAATGTTATAATAGTGGTTATAAGCACTATTTAGAAATACGATCGTAGTACAAAACACCCCCGCCACAGCAAACCTGCAGACTAAACGAATTTCAATTTGTCTTAATTGATTTTCAATTAAATCTAGTAATTCAGTTTTAAAAATTTTTGTACAACTAAATCTAGAGTTCTACTGGACCGATTTTATAACCGAATGGGTCATTGGAAAGGAATTCGTGTAGATTTTCAAATAATTATTAAAGTTTGATTTTTTAAGATTTGCTAGGTGAAACCCGTCAACGTCGACAATTAGCTTAGGTACTGATGTTGAGTTTGCAAGTAAGATCTTTTAACTACGGTATAAATCGATGATAGATAACTCCATTTTTAAACAATTTGGGTCGTTTATAATTTAGCAGTGTGCTTTAGGTACACAATAATCCAATCTCAATTAAAATTGTGGGCTTTAGGTCCAATCTCAATAATCAATAATTCCAATGGAATCTGGTATTTCACTGAAGATTTTTAGATAAAAACATATAGGATAATGTAACTGCTGGAATACATTTTTAATTGAAGTAAAAATTGAAAAAAATCTAATTTTATTGTTTTTGTAGGGTTATACATTTGACATATTAATTATGACAAATATGTGCTTGCATAGCTTTGAGACCAAAATTATGAAAATCGGTCTGGTAGAAGAGCCAAACGAACTCGAAAAAAACAAATTTAACTCCCGTAAGTAATGTACAGGGAGGCAGTTTGTGCATAGCTCAAAATATACGTCAAAATGAGTGCTGATGCTTAATAGCAAATCTATGGTGTGTCTATAGTTTTATTTTAAAGCCGAATTTACACTATGTAGCAAAACCTGGTATATAACTTTTGCTATATAACATTGCTTTATAACTTTTGCTGTATGAAAAATTTACAAACAATTTTAGTGATTCTGGTGCTCGTGCTATATGTTATATGTAGCACAACCTCATTCGCATTCCGTATCGAAATGTGCGCTGAAGAGACATTGTTCGTGGCAGCTATCGTGGTGATCGTGGAAGTCAGAGAGAGAGAGAGAGAGAGAGAGAGAGAGAGAGACGGGAGCAAAGATTTTAGCAAGTTTTAGGTTTGACCGCTTCTTGCTTCGAGAAATAAGTACAGTGTAGCAGATTTATTACGGGACCTTAATGATTATGAATACCCTGACAATCCATAATTAAAACGCTAAATAAGGCGACGGTAACTTCAAAAACGTTTTACGTATGATCACAACGCCGGTTGTCCACGGAACAGTTCAATTAAGTTTATAATTGCATCCCGATCCTAGGCACTGCCACTTTCCGTTTCCAGTCCATCCATTGTAAACAAAGATCGCTGAGCAAAACCGTTCAGCGCTACATATAGCAGATGCTAGACGAAAAATATATGTATATCATTGCTACATATGGCAATGTTAGATGTAGCACGTATTTCTTTTGATATTTACCGACTCCCGATGGATAGCAGAATTTTAGCTATATATAGCAGGATCTGCTACATATAGCAGTGTTATATAGCACTTTTGTAAAGTTACTTTTTCTACTTCTAGCAAATGTTATATAACATCGCTAGATGTTACACAAATCTGCAATGTAGCAGGTTTAGCTACATAGTGTAAACCCGGCTTAAGGCCAAAATTATGAAAATCGGTCTTGTAGAAGAGCTAACCCGACTCGGAAAAGAAAAACCAATTATTTTTATAGAAGGCAATAATTGATTTACCAGTATGCATAATCTAACCATACGAAAAATGAGTTGATAATTTAACAGCTTATTGTTATATTGTTATTTAATTAAATTTTCTTTGATTAAATATTGTTGTTAACAATTTGCATTTGTGTTTAAAATGTGTTTCTTATGTTAAGTGTGTGATTCTAATGTCATGAGCTTAATATGTACCAAATATTAGTGAGTAAAGTGGTGTATGGATTTCATAACCATTATTTTACTAGAGACCGTTGCATTAATTTAACCACAATGGGCTCTGTTGCTAGTCTATTAAATAAATAACATTAGGTTTAACGAAACGAGTACCAAGGTTTTCTGCTACAAGGAAACCAATTAAGTGTGTTTTTAGTAAAATATTAATTGTTTAGTATTAAATAAATAAATCTTCAAAGTTTATCAAAATATATCCATAAACAAGGAAACTACAATTTTTTACCATATTCTCCATAAAAATAACATGGGGATTTTAAATTTCCAATTTTTTGAATTTTCCCCGTTACCAATAATCGTACAAAACCCCTTTGATATACTTAACTATTTGTTTTTTAAGCTCTTTAAAAAGGTCTAGATAGAAATTGGGAAATTTTACGTTTTAAGGGTCAAAAATGAAAAAACAAATTTTAAAAGTATAAAATAACTTATAAATAAAAAACTTTTCAAATGCCACGTTTTTAAACGCACCTTTTTTCGCCCATAGTGCATCACCGTTAACAGTATATTTTAAATTCAACCATTATATTCTTTTCCAGCATGAAATGTTCTATAATTTGATACCAAACCAGATTTTTTAACAATAATTTAAAATTTTACATTTTTTTTAATGGCGACCAAAAAACCGTATTTTGCTTAACAGTACAAATGTATATTTTTAGTATGTTTTTTAAAAGTGTATTACCTACCATTTCTAACTGGAATAATTTCTGTTGCAATTAGTTCCACCTCAAACCCTATTTCTACTGCACTATAAGTCCATAGAGACACATAAAATATACATCACTGTTTTTATGTGACTCTATGGACTTATTTAAAGGTAAGCCTGCTTTCCTGTCAATTTCCCTAATAATTCCTGGCAAATGCTCTATCTTTTTATCAGACAACCTTAAGATTAATATTAAATTAGTTTGAAAACTTTTACATTATTTAAATAACAAGATTGTCAATTTTTTTAAGTACATAAGTTGTATAAATAAATCTAAGATTAAGTAAAAAAATCTTGTGTTACAAGGCTCACCACTGCCAACTAGTGCATGAGCGGCTAACAGTTTGAGTGCGTGGACTTCAAACAAGATAGGATGGAAGAGGAGGTCTCTGGCCGGAGGTCTCTGTGATGGGTCCTGGGCTAAACACTTGTGGATGAAGTCCTTCTGTAGAGGGTCATCCAGACTGTCGATCGTCCTGCACAGTAGCACCACAAACTAGTAACTAATCATGGTTAGAACTTCTAACTAAGGGTTTGTGAAGTTTATATTCTAACCTCTGCACTTACAACTTATCCGGAAATCTATTTACAGTAATAATGTTACCTGTTGATGTGATCTTCTGTGACTAGAGTTCCTGAATCTCCGTTCCCTTGTATCTCCAGAGCTGCCATCTCCAGAGCACACATTCCAAAGGAGTAGATGTCAATCGCTGGACTGACTGTAGCTGAAATATTGTGTAGCAAACTAATTAATTATGAACCTTACAAAATTAAAATATCACACTACAATTTTTAGTTGATTACACCTAACTTTTAGATGCTATAAAAAGATTTTAATTAAAAATTGTGTTAAGTTAAAAATCAATAACTATATTCAAAACACGATGTACACTAGCTTTGCAATGTTTGGTATCATTATAAAAATAGTAGAATATAAACAAAACTGGATACTTTGTTGAGAAAAGTAATATTAATTTAAATACTAACATGATGTGCATGCACAATGTTTGATTTACCTCCATACTCAGGTGCAATAAAGTGCATGTTCTTCATGTTGTCTCTGCATGTCTTGACATGATGGTGTATAGTATCAGGAGCCACTGTAATATCAAAACAAGTGTATGTTAGCGTTAGCTCACAATAAGCAGGTTTTGGTCTGATAAGGTTTCTTCGGAGGTGAGCAGTCGTCTTGACCCCCACCCTCTCGCGCCCAGTCCCTTTCGCGCCCATATTCTCACCCATCCTTACTCTACCCCCTTCTCTCGCTCAATCCGACTCTCACCACCTCAAAACCGTCAGATCTCGACCTTTACCCTATCGTAAACTTGGACATGACATCGGCTTAACCTAGCCAATAACTATAAGTTAACTAAATAACTCTATTAAAATGGAAAAGCTTTACCGCACTTTTCTTTTCGACTTTACCTGATCCTATTTTCACGAGGCCATTGTGCTGAATAAATATGGTATCACAGGTGAGGTTTCCATGGATGATGGGTGGCGCACAGGAGTGCAAGTAACTGGAAAAGAAAATCACCACCGTTTTACCCCACCCTTACAGCATGTAGGCTCCGCAGCAGCATCCTCTAGGAGGGTCAACGGATGGGCAACATGGCAACACAAGAGATCTGCCTAATGCCCATCCGGCAACCCTCATCATTCAAACAAAACAAAATTAGTAACACCCTGTCTCAACAGATTATATTACACATATTCACATGCAAGTAAAGAAGATTTTATTTCATGTTTTTATAGATACGATAATTTAATGCTTTTGTTTTGATTTTTTTTTACGAATAGCTCCTTAATTAAATTTGAAATTATAAATTGGCCCCGTGAGAAGGAAAAGTATACTCAAATATGATTTAGGCTATTGTATAAGATTGATTGTTTGACATTTTGTAATCTTCAGAGGAACTCATGAATAACCAAACTACACATTGTCACTTACCTGATGTTAACAGGTGGTCCTTGAGAACTAGTATTGTGAGAATATACTTACCAGTTTCAATCCTTAGTTGGTTTGGATTATTATTGTATTACTTCGTAAAATCACATTTTATTAATTTAATAATGAACCCCTCTGAGGATATAAAAACCAATACTGACAAATTTTAAAAACCATACTTAACATACTCTTCCAGCCTTAGAGATGGAAAGTATAATCTTCTTTACTTCATAATCAAATATTCATATTTTAGAGGTTTAAGTTATTAAATGATAAAAAAAATCTAGGATTTGCTGGTGTTTGCTATAAAATTTTTGAATAACTAAACAATATACTTTGAACAGTAAAATATGAGCTTCTGTTTTTTAAATCACTCACCAAAACAAACAATTATTAACAAAATTATGTTTTATTTCAATAAGTGTTCATTAGTATTTATTTAAATTGGTTATCATGGTGTGAGGCATTTAAAAGATTTTGAATCATATTTTAGCTATAGGTTACTAACTTTTAATAACACTAAGCTCAACTATTTTTCACTTAACATATACAGGGTGTCCCATAAGTAAACAGCCAAACTCAGAGATATGGTTCTATTTGTCAAAATAAAGAGAAAATCAAAAATAACATTTTTTCCGAAATCACTTTGTTAACCAGATATCCGCCATTTTGTATTTTTTACATTAACATTCTTATTTTTGAAATTTTTAAACCGATCTTTATAAAACTTGATATGTAAGTTAAGGTAGAAAAGACCAATGTTATAAATAAAATCATCTTGATTCAACTTAAAATTTCAATGTACAACTTTCATTTAGTTGTAAAATAGGGCAAACCTGACTAGCTTTTGCCTTATTCTACAACATTACCCTATTTTATAACAACTAAAAATCTTAATATTTCAGCTATTTCTTATTCGATCTTTTTGAACTTGGTATCGTTTCATAGGGAATTAAAAAAGCTAAATAAAAGTGTTCTTGACATTTTTTAATAAATTAGCCATTTTTGAGTAATTTAAGTTAAAAAAATTAAAATGGCCGCCATTTTGAAATTTTAAGTTGAATCGAGATGAACTTTTTTCTAACATGGTCTTTTCTACCTTAACCTACATACCAAGTTTTATAAAGATCGGTTAAAAAATTTCAAAAATAAAAATGTTTATGTAAAAAATACAAAATGGCGGATATCTGGTTAACGAAGCGATTTTGGAAAAAATGTTATTCTTCATTTTCTCTTTACTTTGACCCATAGAACCATTTCCCGGAGTTTGGCTGTTAACTTACGGGACACCCTGTACATGTTCAATCAATTTTATTTGACAAACCTACTAAGATAAATTATTTTCTTTTGGCCAAGAGTTTGGAAGTAAAATTATTTCAAATGCAACATTCAAATGTATAGTTAGTTTTCAAAATTTAAAAGAGGAAAATTACTAGTATTACAGAAAATTACCAGCAAATCTCAAAAGAAGAGTTTAATTTCTATTGAAGTACAACAGTACTGATATTTTATAATGCTTATAAAAACGGAATATAGAAAACTGGGAGTATTTAACAGCCTCTCCCAAACTCAGCAACTTTTATAAACTAGAATTATAATGTTGTTCTGTTAAAAAAATTTAAGATATTCTATATTATTTTACTTGTATATTTTAAAAATATTTAAATGTTAATATATGTAATTTTATTGTTTAGCCATTTATATTAATCTACTCACAGAATGCCTACAGTTTTTACAATTAAGTAGGACGTGTGTGGAAGACAGACTTGATTAACATTTGATTATTATATTTCTAATATTAGGAGAATTAGAAAGTTTGTAATTGAAAAAGGTTTGTGATTCAGAACTCAAGTAACATTTTATTTTGATGCATTTTATCAAAATGTTAAATAAAATTTACTTTAAGGAGCTAGTAAAATTACACATAGCTATAGCCTTGGGATATGTATAATTTTGTTTTAATTAATAACTTTTGGCCTAAAGTTGTAAATAAACAACAATAATAAAATATTTAAAATATTTAGATTTTCTTCAATTCAAAGTTTATAATTTTTTGTTATTTCAACAGTAAAATAAATATTTTACTTTTACTAGTTTAAAAAATATAATTTTATATTTATGTATGAAACGGTGACTGCAGTTTGTTTAACATTGGGAATCGGTGTAGTTTGCAGAAAAATCAGTAATGGTGGCTGTAATTGTGTAAATACGTAATAGTATTTGATCATCTGAATTTTTTTAATAAATAAAATCCATAGTGTTATAAAAACTAAGAAAATGTTTTTAATTCTAACATTATATGAGTTTAAATTACATTTATCCTGATCTTATTTATCAATGTCTATTTGGAGGGGAGGGTCAACTACCACTAAACTTCTTAAAATCATATTTTGACAAACACACATATTAAATGTAGTTTTTTAAAACTTATAAATTAAATTTACTTTTAATAGGATAAATTATTTATTTAACAGCCTAAATATTAATTTGTTGACATCAGGGTGTATATAAAGTCCCTCACAAGCTTAATATTTTCTAAACAACAACAGATAAATCAATAAGATTTGGTACATCAACACCACACCTAAAAATCTATTTTTTCAAGGAACTATGAATTTTCTGTCATATCACGGGGATGTCCCGCAAGGAGTCAGAAGGAAATCTTAAATAGGAGCATAGGTTAATATGCACATCAAATCTTTCATTTTCAATGCTGCAAACCGAACTTCAAAAGGTTGATCCTGCACAAAATGGCGGCTGTTCAAAGATTAATTTAATTTGCATTGCTATTATACGCTTACTCCTCAACCCTGAGCACAGCCCTAGCAATCGGAAGAAAATTGTTAACGTAAGCATAGGTCGATATGCACATCAAATTAAAGGTCTTCACTAGTAGATTACAATGCCGTAAATTCAAGCTCAAAAGAACGCCTGAGTAAAAAATGGCAGTCGTTCAAAGATTCAAAATGGCGAATTCAAGAAATCTTTGAACGGCCGCCATTTTGCGCAGGATCAACCTTTTGAAGTTCGGTTTGCAGCATTGTATTCTACTAAAAAAGACCTTTCATTTGATGTGCATATTGACCTATGCTCCTACTTAAGATTTCCTTCTGACTCCTTGCGGGACGTCCCCATGATATGACAGAAAATTCATAGTTCCTTGAAAAAGTAGATTTTTAGGTGTGGTGTTGATGTACCAAATCTTATTGATTTATCTGTTGTCGTTTGAAAAAATATTACCCCCGTGTGGGACTTTATATACACCCTGTATACTTTCAACTGTATTATTAGCAATGAATTTCAAAAAAATATGTTGATTTGCTAAACTTATAAAAAAGTTATATGTTTTTATCAATGACTATCATTTTAATATAATACTATGCTACAAAACTACTAAACCGAAGTAAAAAATTATAAGTTGTAAGTCTTAATATATTATGTTTTTCTAGAGATAAAATTTGTTGAAGCCTAAAGAAAGCACAACTTAAGCAAACGTCATAAAAAACTAGAAACGAAACTAAAAATTTGGTTGGATTAGTATTAAAACAAAAATAATTTGTATACAGGTCCGTTGTTTCAAATAGTAATTAAAAAATTGTTTATCAACAAAGGAGTGAATTTATGGGTTTTTGTTTCTAAAAGATCCTCCAGTGCTTCTACTTGCTGCAACCAGTGCCGATTATTTGAGTTTACAATGATGGAAAAATACTGTTTATTTCATATTATTACACCAACTCAGGACAATATTGCTAGAGCAAGAAAAGTAAAATAGAAAACAGTTTAAGTTTTCATTCACTAAAAGAAAAGCAAGACAATAGAACAGCAAGATTTAATAAATGTTTACATATACATGTACAACAACAATGTAGAGCAAATTTTTATTTTATTATTGAGAATATCATTAGAAATACATGCATATGTTTTAAAATTTTAATAATACACAGTATTATGCCTTTAAACAGTATTTTTAGCGAATTTCCCTATAGGGAAGTAGCTATTACCTTAGGTCTCAAGGTAAGACCTAGGCCGGGGACCGAAATACTTTTTCATTTTGATGTCCCCAGAGGCCAAAAACACCATTCGTTCAAATTTGTATATATGTATATAAATATATATATATATCAGTCCTGCGAATTTCCATTTGCCTGATTG